TGTTACTTTATCAAATAAAACTGTTTAAATTCTAAAGAATATTAATTGTAAAAAACAGTTAAACTGTGACTTTAAAAATATGCTGGTCCGATGTCCTTCATTTGTTAAATAATAAAATGTTTCTTTTAGAAATTCAATAGTTTCAGCATTCATTTACTCTGTATTCAGTTATTTAAAGTTAACTTGAAAAGGTGTTTATTCGAAGGGATTTACATTCAAATCTATTTTCTTTAAACCTGTCTCTACTTCCTGCCCTATCCCGCTCAATCATGGTTCGTCTTCGTAAAGACGGYTTATGAAAACCTGACGCAAGAGACATTTAGTGATGCCATATCAAAATTTTTGAAACCACTTCTACTTGGAAACAACATATAGAAGAGGAAAATACGTGACTTAAAACCAAACATTTTCATCTCTATATTTTAATATTTTGGATACGAGAAATTTACTTTCACCAATTATTCCCATTAAACTTTTCTACTTCAGATGCAACAATTGTTTCTTATCTGAAAATAATTCCATGGCATCACACTTACAGTAACACTCGTTCCTATTGGCAAACAACTGGCACCRTCGATTTTAACTTCTCTTCAGGCTAACTATTATCATCAAAACTTTTTACTTTAGACAAGAGAAAGGGAGTAGTAATCAAAGGCGTTAGGCCGGGAAATATGAAATATCCTCATTTGATAACGTGTTCTCGTTTGTCCGAAAGAATCGAAATGTCACTCGTTAGCTTTTTGAGGAACAATATTAAGAATTAAAAACAAAAAGATTTAAATAAATGAGTTACAAATAATCGGACGCAAAATTAAAGTGATTTTTCTAAGCTATGGAATCCATTGATGCTAAAACTTAACGCTGCCGGGCCACCGATGAAAGATGCTAAAAATTCGCGAAATTAAAACTCGTGAGCTTGATGTTTTAAGGAGAAAAGTTCAAACATAAGCATCAATATTTACGATATGTATATCTCCAGCGTTCTGATGACTGGGAAATTGCAGCGGGAGGGGATTACTGGACAAAATTCACCTTTTATTTCTGGACGATCCCTCCTCATATTTTTAAAGATGAGTATGCCTTTTTTTCACAGTCGGGGGCAGGTAAACGGAAGTCACCCACATTTTTAATTGTCCAAGCACTGTCAACTCGGCAACATTTTTAAAAATTATTTGGGAAATATTTGTGCAGAAATCGTATTAAAATTAATTAATTAATTGTAGGAACGAAATTGTATTTATCTTCTACGAGGAGACACACAATAATAGAAACAATTTATAATGGGTAGGACTATTACAGAAGAACGATGAGCATGTTATTAGTATTAAATAGGCCACATACTCCGTATACTCAAGTTCTAGCATGACACTCTCTAGCGAAACTTGCAAGATCTACACAGATGTATTAAAAATTGATAACGGAGAAGGCGCTAGAATCTATTGCTTGGAGCTAAGCTTTAGACGATCTTTTGAGCTTGTGGAATCGGCGGAAATCTCTGCGGTAATGAAAGCATCTGAAATAGAAAACAACGCAGGGAACAACATAAAAGAGATGAATGAATATGTTGATAGCCATGTGGAAATAAAGATAATATTCTTACTTCGTGTTACTTCAGTAAAGTCCTTAGAAGAAGAAAGGCAGTAAATATCGGTTCTGTAGAGAATCGACTGCTTATGTACTAAATTACAGACCATTTTGGGAGACCTAATAGCTAAAGAGATTAACGAAAGTGGCATTCCACTGGCTACTGAACAAGTATAGGAAATACGGGAGTCGCTAAAGACGAATCAGGTTGAGATGGAATGCGTTAAAGACAAATAATTCTCTTCGATAATAAATAAAGAAAGCTATTCTGTAGTTATTTTGTGTAGTTTAAATATTTTTCTTTTCTATTGTGGCTTAAAATCATTAAGACGTATAGCAAAAGTTGATAAAATAATAACAAGTGCCATTCTTTCTATGATTTGATCGCGGCAAATTTATAAAGAGGTCAACAAATCTGAAGTTTTCATTATGCTTGAGATTCATTCGAAATGAGCGGCACCATACACTGCCTTCGGCTCAAGCAATTAATGTTGGCCGCCGAGCAAAACACTTCCAATATAAATAGGCATGAGTATGTGGAGCTTCTGTATTTAACAAAAAGTTTATCGAAACCTAACGCTTGACTTATACAAATTCACTTTTCAAAGTCAACACAGAAGGCTATTGGAATTGATTCCAAAATAATAACAACTTAATCTCAATAAATTATAACTTAACATACAAATATATTTGCGTATATTATATATTCAGCCGCAAGCGCAACACAATTTATTATGCAGATAATGACAAGCTTTGCTCAAAAACTTCCGCCACACCAAGCGCCTGTCACCCACTCCGCCACTGCTATTCGTACGCGTGAGTTGCGCAAAAAGTTTTTATGCTCATGATTTGCATTTTAAAGTGAATCATTTTTCATTGGTCGCACAAAACACAAAACACAAAAAAAAAATTAAAAAAATACGAAAAAACCAACAAAAACAGCAAAAGCAAAAAGTGCCAAAGTGAGCAAAAACATAACAAATAGTAATAACGAACGCAATTATATACATATCTGTGTGTGTGTGTGTGTGTAGCAACTGCGACGCGGCCACTGATGCGAGGCATTAAGGTTCAATTAATCTGTGTCAGTTTTGTTATTGCTTTTGCACACTTTATATTTTTATGCAATTTCGTTTTGAAATGAAATTTCACCAAACCAAGCGAAACAACAGCATTTTGTTGCATAACGGCAGGCGCAAAAACTACACAAAACCGAAATAATTATAATAGTTTTTGAAATAGCGCAGCAAAGAAATTAAGCAACACCATTTTTCAAATTAATTAATGCACGTACAGCTGCATAATGCTTGGCATTAATTAGAAAAAACACACGCACCAAAATAACAAAAACAATAAAACTGTCGAAGAAAAGTGCATTGTAATGGAAAAATTTCAAAATTTGAAAAATTTATTTAGAATCGAAAATAAATGTAATTAATACAATTACAGGAAGCGTTAAACTCACGTCGAAGATCTTTTAAATTCATAAAGCGAAAAAACAAAAATAACTATAATACAGATGAGGTAAAAAATACACCGATTTCACTTATTTTTAACACTGAAATATATTTATGTATTGTGTCTGAGCAAATGCGTTTGCTTATTTTTGATAGGACATCTGATATACTACATGATTACTCATATGGTATACTTAGTCCACGACAACTCAAACAACGAATAAGTTATACGATGGTTGGGAACACCCAAGATGTAGACCATTGACATTTTGCTCTGAAGTACAGTCTATTTCAGTTGAGCATCTCCAACAGCATAGCAGCAATACTGGCGTTGAGTTCGAAAGTTAGTCGAGAGATTTGAGTTCTCATAAGAAATAGCAACAAGCTTTTTCTTTATGAGTATCATTTAGGCTGCTCATAGCGGAATTACTCAGAACTGCAAAGCCGATGAACTCACAAGAAGTCACAACCGTGCCCAGCTCTCATCGGTGTCAAACTAGTTTAATATCCGTTGTCAACTTGGCTTCTAGCAGATGTTGGTCGACGACCAGCTTTTGTGCGACTTGTGAGGAATGATACATACTAAACTTCTTGCCATTCGGAAATCGTAAGTGCATTTAGATGTTTTACAATAGTCATTAATTCGCCAAGGCGAAAAGTTCTGAATATAACATTATTCCAATGACATTCATGATTTTTTTGCAGAAATGTATTCAAATACTCCTACCAGATGGTATAGGTGTTAAATAACAACTTCTTGGAAGCCTTTCAATCTCATAATATTTTGAAATAATCGAATCTCCGCTTTTCTAACGAGGTTGTGCGGTGGGTTGGAAACCTTTAGAAACGACTTTAAATGAAAAGGAAACAACAGCCTTGGATGAAGGACTCCAGCTTTGAAGGATTTTGATACAATACCTATGATAGAAGCAGAGGAAGACCTGCACTCCGTTGGAATGATCGGGTGGAGAAGGCCAACACTGCACTTGGTATGAGTCGAATATGTTTTGTTTTTAATTCGATTATAACCGCTTAAACGGTATGTAGGCCAGTAAAGTATAATGTAATAAGAATAGAACCAGACCGAAAACCAACCCAACTGTCAATTTGGGTTAATGGTTGATCATGAATAATTTGTGAATTATCTTCGTACCAGATTCGACAGCTTTGTTTATTTACCGCAGCATACAAATCAAAGTGAGCCTCAATGGAGAAGATAATAAAATCGTTATTATTTTCCAAGACAAAATCAGAAAATTCACCAACCTTTAAGACCATCAAATGGCTTTAGTCTTGAGTCAGAATAATTTTAAGGGGCCAGTGGGGTAATCTTTTTTCCAAAATTATTATTATTATTATTTGTTTGCATTATCTGTTAATTTATACCCTTAGAATTATGATAGAAACTCACTTTACCTTTGGAAGGTTTCGAAAAAGGTCCAAAAATTATAATATCGCTCGACGTTCGGAGCGCTCAAACTTTAAACGCGTTTTTCTCAAAATACTTACCTCAAATCGCAGCAAATTTAATATCGCGCTGAATTAATTGTAAAAGCGCTTAACAAAACTGATTTTTCTTATTACATTAATGATGATCATTAAAAGGAAATGTGAAGCGTTCAACGTTGGCAGACCCTGCGGAGAAGATTTCTGCGGTCGGGTTAACTTTTCATAGCATAGCATAAGTATTTAGCATGAAACTGCATAAAAGCCGACAGACAAAAGGCAGCTAACGCGAAAGTCAAAAATCAAAATGCAAAAAGAAATTAAACAACCTGAAAGTATGCAATGAATAAGGTGAAACTGCAAATCAGACTGACCAAGATGGACTTGACTCGTGAGACAGGCGCGTCTCTAACGGCGGACGATTGTTGAAAGCCATATTTCATTTTATTTGAATTTGTTTTTATTTGATTTTATTTTTTATGCAATGTAGTGGAAATGTTAGCAGGTACTTACCGACACCGTCGCGCCACTCCTCGACTCCATAATCAGGTAAGGCATTCAAGTCAAATTTATTTCTATGGCGGTGTTTACCAACTTGTTTTCGTTATTTTTTTTTTTTTTTTTTTAGTTTGTCGGCGGTCATAATTTTCAGTGAATTTTTAATTTTCGCGAAAAAGCGGTAGTGGAAGTGAGTTGAAAAAGAAACGCGAAAAGGTAGACGTTGAAATTTTTATAAATGTTTATTTAATCGTTTTTGCCRTTTTTTGTTTCGTTTTTGCAAATTTATTTTCCGTGCGGCAGACGAAAATTCGCGAGGCACCAAAGTCGCGTCAGGAGGCAGAAGACGGGATGACCAAGTGGTGGTGGTGAAGTGGTTGTTGCCGATAAGTGGACATTCCAAGCACACACCGGCAARTTGGTGGCGTGTGTGTGAGTGAGGATGGATGGGCAGCGCACCGCAAGCCAGAAGTTATGTAGATTTACATATAAAGGAAAGAGCAAAAAGGAAAATCAAATAAATATAAAATACTATATGTAAATATGTTTTAAGGCACTATGAAATTTGCGGGCGTTGCAGTAAAAAAAATAATTATAAAATAATTATATTAATAATATTTGCGTTAAATACGACATTATTCACATTTTGACCGCCTTTTCAGCAATTATTGTCAGATTTTCACTTACAATTTTTCTGGCTTTGCGCAATTGCTAGGAAGTATGATCAAGTAAACGGTAAAAGTAATGTAATAGGTATTTATATTTTAAGATATACATAAATACTATATTGCAAATTGAGTGAACCACTTTCATATCAATAAAACGCTYAGTTTGAGATGATATGAGCTTAAAATTGCTGTAAATCTAATTGTGTTTAGCAAAAAGTGATCTCATGCCGCTGTCCTTGATTTTATTGTTCAAAAGGTCTGTATTGTGGGTTTAGCTTTTTAAAAAATTCAATTATGATGGGTCTGCCTTAAGTTATAGTAGTAAATAGAAAAGATAAAAAAAACTCTTGTTATCTGATCTCTTGAGGCGTTTCTCTGTGTGTGTCACGGGTAGTGAAAAGCTAGATACAAGGATTAGCCAACAAGCAGTTGCGGATAACATACAGTGGCCAGCGGAAAATAATCTCAGACCGATTGTGTGTTTACTGAAGCGTTATGGCGGATGTTTGGCGCCATTCAATAACAATTCATACCAATGATCTTAACACTAATGCATGACTACATGAGTAAATAGTCTCATGCCAAAGAATGCCTCTGAAGAACTCTAAGTAAACGAACGGTTACATTCACAGACTTCGAGCTAGTGTATTACCCTTTTTGTTTAGTCATCTAAGGACAGTAGTTCCTAGCAAGTCAATTATGAAATCCTGGGCCATTCTTGTCAAAATTCGTTTTTCTTATATTTAACATAGTTCATAGAAGATACACCAATTATAACGACCCTTCAATTTTTCGATACCATGTGCGTAGTACCTTTTTATTTCACTTCACTACTAATTTTTTGCCATCGTTCCTACTAACTTGTCACACGCTGCATTGTCTTGGTTAAGCACCACCTTCTTTTTCTTCAAATGCGGCCGATTTTCGGCAATACATTACCATTACTCGAACTTCTATCGATTGGCTTCAAAATGAAATGGTGGCCATATAGATTTATTGTCACACATCGACGTAAAACCTCAGGTTTGAATGCTAGAACATATCCAATTACTGCTTCGAATCATCAACTCGTTGCTTTTACATAAAAGTGAGCTTCAGTGGAACCCAACTTGCACAGAGCTTTCTCATAMCCAAATATTCGTGAACGKACACGTTCAGTTGATATCTTTTGAGTGCCTGCTATCTGAAACAACTTCACTTTACAATCATACAAAATTATTTTTAGAACTGTTTTGATATTTTCATTGGTAAAATACTTCTTTGRGCGTCCACTGCCTTCATCGTCCACGGTGCTCGTTTTGTCTAGTTCAAACCTAGCAAACAACTTGTCCACGATCAATTTCCTGGTAAAGGGTCCAGATAATATTRAGCAATCTAAACTTTGGTTTTAACATTATTTTTCCCCCAAAACAGCAATGTTTAATKAATCAAAACGTTCGATMCTTTTTTTACAASGACGAAAGTTCCTTCACTCGAACTGATATAATTCACAAWCTAATGAATCGATACCTATCAGCAGATAACATTATACAGGCGCCTTTAAAGGAAAGGGTTAACTAAAAATAATATTATAGTAGTTTCAGGACGGGTACTCTTAAATTGACCTGTTATTGATAATTTTTCTGTGTTTTTGTTCTAAATAGGTAAAAGCATGGTTTTCGTCACTTCCTCAACATATCGGCGAAAGTCGGCACAATGTCTGGCTTGAGTTGTCAGATGGTTTGAATATGATGATTTATAGCTACTTTGATATTCGACAAACAGCAAAAAAAAATCAAACTTTAGGATATGTATAACCAGCTCGTTCGAAGAGTCATGTGGCATCTGGCATTGTGGAGCTCCTTGTGGAAYAGTTCTGTTCCAGGTCACTTTCACATATTTGCGGCCAGATATATTAAGTCAATATTAATCCCTCCAACGMCTGCTCCCATTACCTCTTTTATAGATGATATGCAAGTTATTACACCTATCGTTTTTGTAAATTTTGGMGAGAGCTGAGTAAGATTCGAAAAACTCTTCTTTTGCAGAACTATTCAGTATTAATTAAATAAATCTGTTTTCATACGGTTCTTTGTGTTGCATGTTATAGAGGTCTGGACAAGAAATGATATTGAAGGGGAAACACAGTAACTCTCACTACTTTTCTTATAGCACGTTTCCTGATTATTTTATAGTTGCAAATACAGGATTTCTTTTGAAGGAATAGGGCTGATTTTCTTCCGCCGCGACTGTGCTTCGACGCGTGTACGTACCGACTGTATTCGGTAGAGGGCGTTCCTAGCTAACTCTAGCTATCTCCGAGCACCTGKAGAGTTAGGAAAAACATTTACGCACGACGTGTTTCTGTGAGTGGTGCAAGCCGAAAAGGCAGCGTTTGTTAGAGCAGTGGTGCGCGATTAATTTCTGTGCGAAACTCGGTAAATCTGTATRTGTCAAAACTCGCATTTTTTATAACATTTGYCAAGGATGCCACTGCTGAAAAATATTAGCTTGGGTATTTAATAAATTATACAAAACACTAAATTAAATTTGAAAATGCATACATATATAAATGCTAAAATTTATTTTTCCAAAATATGTTCGCGCAGTTCAATGAAATTTCATTTCGCATTAATTTCGTCAAGTAATTATAGCGCAGCTCTTCTGGCAAATCGCCTTTTTCACTAGCTGCTGGTTGAAGGCACCCTGATTGTGTTTTGTTGCCAGCTCAGAAAACAGATCAGGGTGCCCTGCCAGCTGACAAGTGAGAGAGCAAGAAAAGAGATTCTGATCAAGTTATCTATGTTACCTAGTTGTTGCTTTAACAAGGGTGGAGTGTTTCGGTGGCAGCAGTACTTTTTGAAGTGCCGTGAAGAGGTCGCTGATGAAGACCGTTCTCGTTTAATTGTCCAGTTGTTAAATTTATCAAAATCTCTGGTTCATAGCATTGTGACGGAAGTGAGTGGAAGTGACCTAAGAAAATTGAACATGTGTGAAAGTGACCCCCAATTTTAGAATAACGTAATCACAGGTGATGAGTCATGGATCTTTGAGTATGATCCCGAGACAAAGAGGCAGTCTTCCTTTCCTTTCGAGACGACAGAGGGAAACCAAGCATCATACACCTAGGATATGAAGGCTTTTTCTGAGAATGCCTTTCGTGATGCCTTCAATGTTTGGAAATCGCGCTGGCAGCGCTGCATCGACGCATAAGAGCCTCTTTTGAAAGTTTTTTAAGGAATTGTAACGAATGGTTCAACAATTTTGCTTAAATCGACTCGGTCCTATTACTTTTCGGACAAATCCTGCACCACTGAATTTTTTCATTGGCTCCGTTTATCACATGTTTATCTTTGGTAACTGTGCCAGTTTTTCATTACTCGTGAAGGAGCTTCATATCGTAAACATTTTGTCCATAGCCTAGTCCTAGGTGCTGAAATTAAAAGGTTGACAAACCATAATCTATGAGACAATAGCAGGTGAGTCTTCACCTGAAACTGTGCGATTTTTCATTGCTAATAAACAATTTTAGCTTCATTGACTTCTCAGTAATTGATATCTAGTTAAATAATATCCATTATTGGCTTTCTGAGAAAATTTATTGCTATAAGCAATTTACAAAGTTAAATTAATTTACATATTAAAATCGAAACCCGCTTATGAGCACCTGTTTCCCCAGTCTAAGGCCTGATTKTTATAAGCGGACAGGGACGATTCTCAGAAGAATAAACGCTGCTTCTGCATACATTACTGCACACTCCGGCATTTTTAAAGCCACTTCCGCCACTCCGTGAACAAGGCGCTGTTTAGCCCTTAGATGATCATTATAATTATATTATTAGCGCGAATTTCAAATATTTGTATACATATTGCTCAGCGATGTTTATCTTCATTATGCCGCACCATATTTAGCAAGGAGCGAGTTCACGAAGCAGCCAAGAAAATCACWATGAACGCCGTGAAGAAGTGAAGAAAGCTAAGACGTTGAGCGCTTCTGAAAGCTTTTTAAAATATGATACTCTCACTCCTGCCGGGCTTATACACGCAAACGCCAGACAGACTGCTCACAGGCGCGGTCGTTAATATGGATTTACCACTTTTTTGTGCTATTAGCAGACGTTGAGTCTTGCGCTCCTCTGAACTGCAAGTCACAAATGAAGTGGCGAATTAAACTAAAAAAGGATTATACTCGTTGCAGTGTACAAGTGGCACACAAGTGGCAACTGGAGACTTTTGCAGACACTGCCGCGTTGTTGCAGCYCATTATGCTACATTGCACCTTAATACAAGAATAACAAAAAAATACCAAAAAGTGCTAAATTTGCTATGTTGGATTTTCAGTTTAATAAGACYTTAGTGCAATAGCTGAGTGTTCCGTTTTCGGTTAGTTTAATAAAATTTAATATTAAATTTTTGTTGCCATCCCATCGTTTCAAGATATTTAAGCAATCTTCCACCAGTTGAAAGAATCGGACACTGTATATTCCTTTCCATTCACTTTATGACCGTCTTCGATATTATGAAACTAAAGAAATAATACAAGATGCGTTCCAAAGTAAACAGCACTTAAAAAAAAAAAGCAGAAAAAGTAGTTTTTCCGGCAAATTCAATTTATTTTATTCAAAACAGTATCCTTCTGCTTCAATACAGATTTTTGCACGGTACGAAAGCATAACTAACGAGTGTTTTAGCTCGTTAGCCGGTTCAAGCCTTTTGAATGGCTTCTACGTCTGCATAACTCTTCCTTTCATGGGAAAATGAATTTTTCCGAAAACGAAAACGTCGCACGATGTAATATCAGGTGAATATGGAGAGTGGCTAATGGTTGCAATGGGATTTTTGATCAAATAATCGGTCACAAGCGTCGATCGATGAAACGGGGCATTATCGTGCACGAAATTCCAACTTTCATCTTCGCGATATTCGGGCCGAACGCGTCGAGTACGGCGCACCAAACGCTTCAAAACTCCAAGGTAGCATACCGCATTAACGTTTTGGCCGGCTGGAATTCTTTTGTGGACAATACCCTTGGAATCATCAAAACAAATCAGCATTGTCTTCACTTTTGAATCCTCCATGCTGGTTTTTTTGTGTGTCGGTTCATCCGGTTCATTCAGGACTCTGGCCTTTTGGGATCATATTGGAAATATCATGTTTCGTCACCAGTCACAATATTGTAAAGGAAGTTGTTGTCCTTTTTGACCTCTTTAATGATGTCCTTCGATGATGTTCGAATGATGTTCGGTCAAAAGGCGATAAATCGATGTCTTGGAGAAGTTCAGTTACATTTCCTTGAACTTCAAATATGATTTCGGTTCATTTTTGATGAATTCACGCACAGTTTCGATGGAATTTCCGGTGATCACGGATTTTGATTGGCCCACATGTTGATCGTCATTTATGTCCTCCCCACCACTTTGAAAACATTGAAACTACTCGTGCACTCTGCTACGGGATAGGCAATCATCGCCATAAACTTGTTTCATCAATCGAAACGTTTTGGTAAAAGTTTTACCAATGTTAAAATAAAATTTAATGTTGGCTCTTTGTTCGAAGCTCATTTTCGCACCGATAACACAATCATACCGACACTTAAAACGTAATAACTCCACTTCCAATCAATGAAATGTCATGAAATTCTCACTGAACAATCGATGGAGATAGCAATTTAACGTACCAGTTGACATATAGATCGCGCCACCAGTGGGAGCTAGAAAGTCCTGTTTACTTTGGAACGCACCTTGTATTATATTTGTTTCAACTGCCAAAGTTTCGATTCAATCGTCGCTTCAAGTATTATTTAAAGACATAGATTGCTTAATTTTCTGTTACTATTGAATTAAAATAATTGCTAATTTATTCACAAGACAATAAATGTAAAGACGCATTATTCAACTCCTAACCGACACGCCATGTGATTACATGGAATTTTCTAGAGTCTGGAATAAGCAGTTATATTTCGAAATCATGAAGCCTATTAACATTTTTTTCGAACAAAATTTGAGTTGTGATATAAAAACAATTTTCTGTGATCAGCAGAGTAAACAAGTGTCTGAACGATCTGGGAGTTTGGTAAAGACTGCTCTTTTTAATTATTAAATAAAATAATAAATAATTTTGTGTTTGTGTGTTATAATGGATGAGTAAAAAATTAATATGTCTAAATAAATAAAAATACATTTAATTATTTTGATTTGTTGTRAGAACCCAACAACAATAAAATAAATTTTTTTAAATTAAGTACATTTTAGAAGCTATATTCGACCAATCGACTTACCTAAACTCCGATTCCAAGCAGAATTCTCCAATATTATTGCGGTTGTGGGCGTTGGCATTTCTGTGAAAACAAAAAATTTAATGAAAACTCAAAATATTGGAAATAGTGTGTAAATAAAAAACGATTAATTTCAGTTTAATTTTGCCCCAATCAATAGAMATTCAAAGCGCTCTAAAATGACAACTTAATTTCAAGCTAAATGTGTTCAATGGTGAAGGGCTTCAACCATTTGCCTAGTCTTTTCTATTTTCGCAATGCGCGCTTCGTCGAAAATTCCAAAGCGTTTTCGAAACTTCACTGAGTTTTAAGAGCGTTGCGCCACTTTTTGCTTTTAATATGAAATCAACACTACCACCATAGCAGTTTTACGCAACATTTATTTTGGTATCATTCCACTTTGGTGTTTTTTTTCCCCCCGCTTTGTCTTTTGCAATCCACACCGCTGTTTTACTTTCCATTTCAAAGCACCTCACATTTCAAGCGCCCACCGCCCCTTTATAGCGCCAGCTAAGCTATGAATTCTAATTGCAAGCACTCTTGCATAGGTATGTGTGATTCTCTGTATATGTGTGCCATATAAGTGCAGGTGTGTGTGTAGAATTCTCTTAGCGCAATAGTTGGTATAGCAGATGCGTTTGTACGCGGCTCGTAGAGATTCCACCTACCATCAAGTTTAATGTTGCCATCCGTTTCGCCCAATGAATTTTTAGCGACGCATCGATAAGTACCGAAATCGTTGGGACCCACAGAGCGTATTTTTAATTTCATGTATTTCGTGTAACCACTAACCGTTGAGGTTGTCTCGTATTTGTCGCCAGCACGCGACGTATCTGCAACGAGAGAGAAAGAGTAGTAGCAGAAAAAAAAATATAAAAATTTGATTTTATTGGAGTTTTCATTCAGCAAGGGTTAGAAAGGACGTATGAGTTCGTCGCTTAAAGTGACGGAAACAAAAATAAATTTAATTACTCGGTAGAAGAGAAACAGCACTTAAAGCTGAGCAATTAGAGTGGACTTCGCGCGAATTTCAAACAATAAAATAACACACTCAAAGMAGAACGTAACGCAGATAACACACATAAAATTTAATGAGTTCTGTTCGAAGAAGATGAAGTTTGAGGAAGAAGAAAACGAAAATATTTAGAATTAGTGTGCGAAAAAATTATCAAAAAAATCTTCCTGTAAGGTCAGAGAATAAMACGTCTTACATCGACCTCAAAAACAAATAAGTAGGGAAGTAGAAAGTTCGAGTGCAACTCAACATTTTATACTCTTGCAACTGGCAAGGATTAGAGCCAGGAAAAGTACCTTCAGGCCCACAAAGCATGTTTGTTATAAAGTGTTTASGGTGAATTTTCCCACGATTTTATTCATTCTTAGCACTAAATGCTCAATTACAAGAAAAACACGACCTCTCAATTTTATTAAGATAAYTTAAATATTGGCCGATATATGCGCCATAAAGTCACCCGTGAGTGCAAAAATCTGTATATTGTATTCGTTATATGAGGCACATTCTACTACCTGGAAAGGGTATTATACATATGATTTAAATTGTATATGCCATATATTGATCAATATTTTCGGCAAAAAGTCAACTATAGTTAMTGGAGTCCAAATAATCGGGAMMTAGGTGCTTGAACACTTTTTGTCGGACTACGTCAATTTTYGGTCATAAGGTGGCATACTATAAAATAATAATTAGTTYAAAGTTTTATCCCGTAATATTAATTGCCTCTTGATTATTACACTCGAACGAAAAAAATCAGATGGAATTTATWTGTGTGTTATATGGGAAGTAAGCGTGACTGTGGACCGATTTCGCGAATAACAGGTATTAAGTGATTTACTATATTGGGTTTAGGCCAATCTAATCGAACGGATCTCRAAATATGTGTTTTCTCCCCGTAATAGTTGCGGTGCCACACCTAGCGACCAATATTGATGTCGGCAATACTAAAGCCCTGGTTTTAGAGATTAAATTTATTATAGGGCGGGGGAATGTCACTTTTCCAAAATTTTTGCCAACAGGTGCCCATTGCTACTGCGACCCCCTCTGCCAAATTAGAGTTTTATATCTTAATTTGATGTTTAGTTATGCCACTTTATATATTTACAGTTAATGACATTTTTTGGTGGTGACAGTGGTCCGATTACGTACTTTTACAAACTTGATCTGTGTTTTGCCAAAAAACGCGCACATCAAGTTTCATCAAAATAGCACAGCAGAAAAAGCTATATTTCTGTGACTCTAGTGACAGGAATCGTTTAATGGATCGATTTTGRACTCGGTGAACCATATGAAGTCGTCTTTTATTTAGCTGATTCTGTCAAATCGTTACTCCAATATTTGTAATTTTACCCTTTCCTCAGMCTCATTGCTTAACAGAAGTTTATTGCATTTTAAGTTACGTTTCTCAAAAGCGCATTATCCATAGCTTCTATATAGTAGCGGCTTATAAGTAGCAGCTAAGAAAATTGTATATTAAGTACATGGAGGCTAACGGCAGTATTCATCCGATTCAACCCATTTATGGTACAAGGGCTTATTCTTATCAGAGAAACATTTTCTTATATTTTACAAGGTCCTTTCCAAAGCAAACCAGACATAAAAAAAAAGAACAAATGGTTTTTTCGGCAAAATCAATTAATTTTATTCCAAATAGTCTCCTTCTGCTTCAATACAGCTTTTTGCACGGCCCAAAAGCATGTCGAACGAGTGCTTTAGCTCGCTGGAAATCATTAAAAAAACAGCACTGTCTTCACTTTTGACTTCTTCATGCGCGATTTTTTGGTCTTCGGCTCGTCCGGTACCTTCCATTCAGCGCCCTGGCGTTCCGTTTCGGGATCATATTAGAAACACCGCGTTTCACCCCCAGTCCCAATATTGCAAAGGAAGTTTTTGTCCTTTYTGACCTCTTTAATGATGTCCTTCGAATGCCGTATTCTGAGCAATTTTCGGTCGTCAGCCAATTTGTGCGGAACAAACCGTGTACACACTTTCGTAAGCCCAAATGGTCGGTCAAAATGCGATAAAGCGATGGTTTGGAGATGCTCAGTTACATTTCCATCAATGATGATTTCGTCTGATTTTTGATGAATCCACGCACAGTTTCGATGGAATTTAGGGTGATTTTGATTTTCCCACATGTTGATCGACATTTATGTTCTCACGACCACTTTGAAAACCTTGAAACCACTGGTGCATTATGCTTCAGGATAGGCAATCATTGCCATAAACTTGTTTCATCAATTAAAACGTTTTGGTAAAAGTTTTTCCAATTTTAAAACAAAATTTAATGTTGGCTCTTTGTTCGAAGCTCATTTTCGCACCGATAACACAAATATACTGACACTTAAAACGCAATAACCAAAAAGTCACCCATACCTMAACATATTTGGTTGCTGCCTTCTGGAATTATTATAGTTCGAGTAGTCAAGTATATTTTTTAAACTTTAACTATAGTTTTCATAGTAACAGCGACTCGTTCTTGGTAAAGATCCATCTCRAGGATTATTTCTAGATATCATACACTCAATATACGGCAGTTTTGCTTGTTTACATTTCCGTTTCGATCAATTGAGCCTCATCACATGGGTTTAATAAACAAACAATTCATTATATCAAGTTGTTTGTTGGAAAATTTCCAAGCGAATAGGCAAATCTATAAGGTTTAACCTCCGAGTTGAAATTCTTTGATTGCCGATGCAACAGCCGCGATTGTGTTTTGAACACGAACATATGGTTGTGATTAGAATGGTTTTCTTACAATAATGGACCAACTTCTCGAGGGAGTGCCGTCAAATCCCATCTGAAATCCCATTGGAAAAAATGACGGACTGCCGAGAATGGTACCGCTGCACTTTCCCAACCTTTTTTCGGTATACCAAGTATTGATTGAAAACAAAAATTACATAAAAACCTGCTAAATAAAAAAATTAGTCGATTACTCTCACAGAGAAGCAGTTATTGCGGTTTGTTTTTGTAGCACCATTCGTTAATGGTTAATGGTTTTTCTTAATTTTAGAAAAAATWATAGCTCAGCCTTGTTGTTACATAAGATAACAATGATACATACCACTGCAATATATGACTCTATTTTTGGGAGAAAAGACGATTAGAGGTGTTAGGACAATCGCCTTATCTTTGAAGCGTTTTCTGTAACTTCATTTTCCGATCTTGTACTGTTTCGTTATTAACAATCCATTTTTTATTTCCATTATTTGTATTTATTTTTAGTGTAGTTTTCCATAGAAGTTTGTGCCAGTGTCGATTCCATTCTTGTTTCTGAAAATACTGCAGACATACGGACGGGACTTAAAGTCAGAGCAAGTATTTACGTGGTATTTAGTATTTATTTGTGCAATCATATTTCTTCAAACGAAAAAATTTCATTGTAAATGGGTGGCACACAATCTGTTTTGAAGGATATTCAGTAGAACGCTCTCATTGAAGATGTACAAAAATACTTCAATGCTCACTCAGAGGGTGGGGAAAATACCTCATGAGAARCACAGGAAGTTCACATTCACAGCTGTTATCTTCATGGAATCTTCTCAATGTCAATCTGTACACTTCGCATTACAGACTTTCGCTGAAACCTGTTAATGGTCGCCAACTGAGGGTTTTGGAAAGTTTCTGGTGGCAATAGCTATAGTTCTAATAACAGCTACTGTAGTTTTATTCAACATCCCAGTTACATGAACGCTTGTGGCATGTTTTATATAAGAATGCTTTTGTCAGCAGTTGCGTTTGTGTGTGTATTCTTTTAACTGCACGCAAAAGTATAATTTCCTTTAACAAATTTTCTTCTTTCCTAGCAGCTTTAGTTACAGTTATTTTCCATAAGCTGCTTTATATCAATTTGTTTGCATATTAACATAAGTATATGTATCTGTATGGTATATGTGTATATGCTGTGTAAGTTCGTGTGTAAGCGGTAAAACACATGTGTACACCTGGCAAATAAGGTCAGAAACTTTTAATAACTCAAAAGGATGTGTGTGTAAAAAGTTTGTGGAAAAATGCTTATATGCTTATAATAGTTTGTATGCGTGTGTGTACCGCAGTGTGACATTCGCGTTCTTTGAAATTTTCTTGTACTCGTGCAACTTAATGCGCACATGCGACTGTATTTCGTTTCACTAAAAGCTTAAGTTTGTTTTAGCGCCTGAAAGTATGCATGCATGTGATTTTGTGTCTTTTGTTTATTGTCGCTCCATATTGCTATTGGTGTTTGTTGCTTTTTTTCTACCAGCCACACACATGAAAATGAGCTTTTGACTCATTTCTTCGTTTGCGTTTATTTTATTGAACAAACAAATAATTATTGCGCATAAATGTAAGCACAAAGTTACAGTTACTCATATGCTCAAAGTCTTCGTATTTTCGTTGCTGCGACAACTGCCAGCGCATTTGGCATATTTTATGTCTTTCGCAACTGTCCTTATTGTTGTTTTTTTTTTTTTGCTGAACTTCCTATATTTTTGTTGTTGTTAGCTACAGCACCGTCGTGTTGCTGGAGACATTTTTATTCATTAATATGTGATATCTGGGTAAAAAAAAAAGCGAGCACGGAAATTTTTTTAACTGTCGCATGTCAAATATGGCGTGTCATTCGTGAGCCATAGCTGGCAGCACACATGCAATTTGTTTTCCGAAAAATTTCATAAATTTCGGTACATTAGTGTGTGTCTCGTCCGACAGACAGCCTTGAAGATATTTGGTGGCAGGTATTATTTTCGCATTGTGTCAATGGAATGTAATTTGATAGCGTCACATTATAGCCATGTTTAAATCTKTTTATAGATTTTGGCATGTTTTTTGCAC